AAAAGGACTGAATGGACAATGCAGTGCAAGTAGAATCTCAACAAGCAATGTGCATTCCGATACATACAAAATGGTGCTTTATAGCGCAGGGAAGACTGAGATACAAATCCTGACCTGACCGAGACTGACCCCTTTCATGTAGTACAAGACAGCAAAGCGGAATGCTAGAGTACGAATGACTAGCCCAATCAATGTTTCAACGCAGACCAAACATACATCATGTTCATCACAAGGTGTGACGGAGCCTGGCGCTATACACAGGGAGGAAGCGCAAGGTCCAGACATACACAGACGAAAACGAGGGGATCAGACGAAGAACAGGAGGAGAGATGGGAATGTCGTCAACACCAAGTCTTTGTCACAAGTCCCAAATAATCCCTCTCGAAATGTCTGAAGCCCAAAAGTCGAGTCTGGATCCAATGTCACCAAGCTCTCTCTCTCTCTTTCTCTCGTAGTCTGCTGATGCAGTGAAGTCAGGTAATGAGAGGGTGAGAGGGAGATGGTGGACTGAGAAGAGGAAGAAGAAGAGCTCTCTCTTTCTCACGAGCCAGGTACTAACCTGTGAAGTTGGCGGTGTGCTGCAGGTACCTCGAAGACGAAGCTGGAGCAACGGCGCTGCAGGTAGGTACTCCTGGCCTCCGCCCAATCTCTCTCTCTCTCTAGTACTATCTTAGCTATGGCGCCCAGCGCTGAAGACTACAGCTACCTACAGGCGCCCAGCGCTGAAGACTAAGGCTAACGCTACTACTACTCCTGCAGCGCTCGCTCCAGAGTGCTGCTGCCAAATCCTGAAGACTACTGACTGCCTCCTGCCTACCCGTGAAGTGGATGGGAAGTCCCTATGTCCCATCTCGGCCTGCCTCCTGACTGCCTCCGACTGCCTGCAGTTGCAGGGCAGGCAGTCCAGGAGGCTGCTCTTGCCAATGCCGAATTGAGCCAGGGGCTGGCGCTGCAGCTGTCGTGGGTACAGGCCAAAAATAGCCTGTTCCTAAAACCCTGGTTCAGTGCCTGAGTTTCAGGGCAGGCCAGTCTGATGACAGACCGGAAGTGGCCCTTCGTTTCAGGCTAAAAAGGCTACTGCCATTTTGTAGGCCCCTGTTTTTCAGGCTTTCGAGCTGAATGGTCACGGGGCCTGTAGGCCCTGGTTTTCAGGCTTTCATCCTGAGGGAGGCAGGGCCTGGAAAATGGCCCTCGTGTGCAGGCGCAGCATGTAACACACACACACACGATCAAGTGTAGTATCTGCTTCGATCAGTTTCATATCTGATCTTCTCGCATGATAAAGCCGTAGTATCTGCTCCATTCAGTTAGCACTCGCAAACGAGAGAGAGAGGAAAAGAGAGAGAGAGAGAGAGAGAGA